GGAGATTCCAGGGATATGTGCGTCTGCAAGCAGGAAACCTGGGTTCCTCCCATTTGCAGAGGAGCTGTGGTATGGCAACATATGTGCCCCAGGAACTCCCTTGCTGGAGGATTTCCAGGGAGCATGTCTGCAAATGGGAGCCTGGGCAGGCACTCCTGGGGCTTCCAGGGCCTGACCCTGACCCTGGGAATGGGCAAGCCTGCCTGATGTGAGTGAAGAATGCGGGCAACTCCAGGCTGCCCACACTGTCCTGCCATAAAGCCAACAGACATACACTGTAAAATAGTGGCACAAATTTAGACCACGCTTATGTTGCGGCTACAAATTTTGGGCATTTGTGGTACAACAAGGGGAAGGATGTCTATTTGCTTGGCCTTTGTGCCTCCATAAACATTTTTATGGTGGCACAAAGGTGATGCCTGTTTCTAGCCATAGACAACTGATTACATATAAACAAACTTCCCTGACATCTGACCTCAACGCAGATCAGGGGGGATCACTTTTAGGGGATAAAAATGCAAGTTCAGTCTTCATACATAATCATATGATCATCTGTGTTTAAATTGCCACTGCCACTACGGTTTATCCTCTGGGCCATCTGGGCCTCTAACTGCCTTTCTAAAAGCAAGATAATGATATATGGTAAATTTAATTTTAACAAGATCTTAACATGATTTGGCTGCACTAGAATAAAGTTGAGAATCACAAATAGTTTAACTAAGCAGGACTCTACTGTGTAACATTAAGTTGATTAATTACTTGGATAATGTTTTCATGTGCACATGCTTGCTTCCCTTTCCTCTTCCAAGACTCTATTCTCAAGCCTGTCAGCTTGGCAAAGATTTTCTCTCTTCTGTGCTTGCACAGCAGGGAAGGCTGAGCAAATTGGGGCTCATAGGAGTTACTATAAAATAACCATTAATGATACTATTCTTAGTGCAACACCTTGAAAAGTTTGCTTTGATACTGTCATGAAAACAGTAAAGCGTGGCTCAGAGTTCTCAAGATCTTCAAATGTAGCACCTCTTATTGCAAACACTTTGCTTCTGCCTCCTGCAGCTTTCCCAGGAATCTTAGTTATAGGGTTTGGTATTTGACCAGTCAAAGGTCAGTTAATTGATCGGTCAACTATAAGTCAAATATTATTTTAAAATGCCAATAGGTCCAAATAATACATAGAAAAAGCACGAATTTTCCATTAATGTATCAAAACATTTTGAAAAAAATCATGTTTCTGTCAAGAAAACTACAAAAATGTAGTTGTTTTGGGTTTTTTTTTTTTGGTAAAATTGCTATTATCTTTGACTGGTTAAAAAAAATATACAGTCAATTGACAATATTTGAGCAGTCAATTGACCAGCATGCCAACCCTACTTAGCTATGCTTTTGGCTTGCTGATGAAGAAATGGTCAAAACTGCCCAGTTCTACTCTATTCAGGGCCTTTGAAATTAGGATCAAGAGGGTGAATTTGAACTACTCCCCCATGACAGTAGTTTTAAAGATGCCAGTGTAAAATACTGATTGTTGATACAACAATTGTATCCAAACAAAGAAGGATAATTAATTCATTATCAAGTAAATTAAAAGTGAACTATAGAAATGGTCAATAACTCAAGAACCTGGTAATAGGATAATGAGCTTTTCCCCTAAAAATTATCCAAACAAGTCACACCAATTTGATTTTAAATGAAAGAAAATCCTCTCTGGTGCTGTTTGGAGAAGTGAGTTTATCAATGTAGTTTTTAAGATAGATTTCTGCATTATAACTTTGTTGGCAGTAGCAGAAAAGAGCTGAAAGACTGGAAGGATAAAATTACTGAATTCCCTTTTGCACAAGTTTTTCCAGTTTTAAGGCACAATAGTTCGGTAACATAAGAGGACATGTACTGCTTACCATGCCATGGCCAATATAGGTAAATAGAACACTTCTCTCACCAGGGATGTCACCCAGGTCCCTTTCACAAACCCACAGTTCATTTACTGAGGGTCAATGCACCCTCCACCACAAGTGAAACATTAAACTACATGTGTGGAATTCACATCACATTTTAATTATATCCAAAAGCCAAAAACAAGAGAGAGGGTACAAACCAGCCTACATGGACTAGTGCCATAAATCCTGAGTGACATAATATCACTAACTGGATGTAAGATAAGAGTCTTGAGACTATACAGTATGGGTGTGTGAAACTGGCCATATTGGATTCAGCCGAATCGGGGACAGTAATTCAATTAGTTGATTTGGATCACCGTCCCCGATCTGATTCGGCCGAATCCAAATCTGAAAATTCAATGCTGATTCAGAGAATCAGCAATTCAACCATAGACACAGCTTTGAATGTTTTTTCTACATACTTCGAGGTACCAGGTACAGCTCGTGAACGCTGCAATGATGGGGCAGATGGAGCATCCCACAGGGGTACTTCCGGTCCACTTCCGGGTCTTCCGCCAAGCACGTGGGGTGGGTGGGGGGGGGCCTGCACCCCCTGGCTCAGCAATTGGCCTGGGGGACCCTGGGTGCCTGCTCAGACTCAGGAGGCACCAGTTGCAGAGCTGGGGGGAGGGGCGGTGCAGGGGGACTCCCTAGCATGCTCCCTGGCAGACCCAGAAGTGGACCAGAAGTGCTTGTGCTCCACTTCCAGGTCTGCTGCCGAGCATGCTGGGGAGCTCCCTACACTCCTGTGGGATGCTCCATCTCCCCCACCATCACAGCATTCACGAGCCACCTGGTACCTTGTGGTATGCAGAAAAAACATTTAAAGCTGTGTCTATATCCGAATCTCTCTGAATACATTCGGAGGTTTCCAATTCAATTTGGAGAGATTAAAGGGTCTCCTGATTCAATTCAGATTTGGCGATTCAGCCACTGAATTGGGCCGAATCTCCCTTGAATTGAATCAGGGACTTAAGCTTCACACAGTCCTACTGTCTCTTTCCCCCCCAAGCATCATGGAACTGAGAGAATATTGGAAAACACGTCAAAAAGGAAACAAGCTTTGGAGAGGTATTCACAAGTATCAAGATGAAAGACACCTTCAAGGCTTCTAAGGAAGTGATGTTCTGGGAGCAGGTTTAGGTGAAGACCTGGTGTCTGGGTGGCATCAGGAAAATAAATCAATGTGCAATGAGAGCCAGTTAGCAAAAATTTACTTTTTGTCCCAGTCATAGCCCTTAATTCATATTCACTGATGATTCTTATACCCATTAAGCATTGTGCAGACTTGTGTTCTGCTCTGTCCTGTATTCCTTCTCTCTCTCAATCAAAAATGGTTCATTAATGACACTTTTGTTTATTCTTATTATTTTGGGTATGCCTTGTATTTAAATTAGGTCCAATCTTGTGAAATGGCTTTAATCAGTAAGATTTTCAAAATCCTCCTTATTCCTGCATGACTAGTAATGGGACAGGATTTATTTCTACTATTATTGTCTGCCCTCATATATTTTATTCCTGTTGGCTGAAGTGTCTGTCTTACATTAACAGGAAAACTGAATAATTTATTTAATCATTCACAGAATACTCGACAGTAAAAGCTAAACTAACAGGTTATGAGGAAGCTGAACAACTTCAATCAGAGCTGGCCTAATGTTAAGTCATGTCCACAAAATTCAACAATTATCACCCAAACATCTCTAGGCTCTAGCCTGACACAACCCTTACTTGTCTGTGGATGAGTAGATTCAGCCTACAGAGTGATTTTTACTACTGCCCAGATTCACCACTAACAACTTTGCAATTCTCTACTGATGATGCCAGTCATGCAAGTGGTAATAAACAGGACCTGGGTGTTTACTCTAGGTATTAAAAATGCCTGAGTCCTGCCATCCCTACAGCTCCTAGTTTTGCTACAAGTGGGGCTGCACAAATAGTGAACTATGGCTATGATGTTCTCCAGCATCAACACAATCTCATAATGGTAAAGGTAAAGACTCCTAAATGCTGATCCAGCAACCTTAGACTAGGTTTGCCTCTGACAGCCTTGGAAGTTACTGGCAAAGAAACTTTACAAAAATTAATTAGCATTAAAATGCTCACAATTTGGATTCCCAAGTACAACTGGACACCCAAGATAAAAACTCACCTTCCTGCAAGAATTGAGAGATTGATGGCTCCTGTGTCAAGTGAGATTCTGGAAGCTTCCAAAATTACATCAAACTTATGCAATGTGGATCTGGCCGGTACTGCTAATGTAAGTACCTTAAAAAAACAGCATCCGCTGGTGTGCGTCACTCTGTCTAGGATGGTACTTTTTAAAAATGGCAGTGCACACACGCAGTTTGGTTGTCTTTGATCCCTTACAAGTGTGACAAACTGTGCTTGATGCAACATAATTAGCTTAATTCATAGGGAAGAGGGCACCACTCCCGATGGAAGGTGGCATTCCATTTACATTATTTTATGTTCCGCAGGGTCTAGATATATTAACTTAAATACTGTTGTACAGTGCTTCTGTTAATTGTTGGCTATTCAATTCAATTTGCAAATGGCACCATAAAAATCAAGGTTTTGAATAACATGCTCAGTATTCCTAATGACCTCTGGCGCAACTCAATATGGAGCTCTGGGGCCTTTGTCTTCTCTTGCAGGTGAACTGAAAGCCATTCCCATCTCATTGCGATACTCTGCTCATTGTTATCTCCCAGAAGGGGCTTTCTGGTGATTTTCTGCTATTGACTGATGAACACCAAGCAATGGGCCTTGCCTACAGAGTTAGGAATAATATTTTTTCAACAATGAATCATTTTGAAAAAAATTAAAATACCTTGTAAGATTGTAAAATACAATTGTGAAATGAATAAGCTTCCTTATGAATAAAAATTATTACAAATTATAGGACTGTGAAATGTTGGAAATGCAGGTATATGGCTTGCAAGTGGCATGGATGTTGAATATCATATAGAAGAGATGAAGAAATAAATTAAAAGATAACAGTAAATGAGAAATAAAACAACGCAAGTAATAGATCATTTTTTAAAATATTCATTTCAACTATGATTCTGAAAGTCATGTCAATTTTTTTATTCTGGGTGTAGGGGATTTGGCATAGTTAAAAGTAAAAAGCAATTTTAAAATGTCTTAGTGAGACTTTGTTTTAAAAAAGAAACTGCCTTCTGACATATTTTAATCTTTTTTGCCCCCTTAAAAGAAAACTCCTGTGTGTCCATTAATCTACCCAAAATTTTCATTACCTCTTTTGCACAAGTCTATACCAAAAAGAGAGGCAATGAAGAAAAGTGTCTGCATTTGTCCATGCAAAGATGTAGTTCAGTACAGGTCATTTCCAAGGTCCCTAAGACAATGCTTATTGTTATCTTTCTGAAAAAAAAAATTTACTACAGACATGCTAGGTACCTTAAAATAACTCTTTTTTTTCCATTTCATTTTGTAGCTGTCAATGTGGTTTGAAGAATGAATGGAATTTTAGATTTGGTTTTGAAATATACTCATTGGGTTCACCAGAGAACAAGAAAAAATAGTCATCTTTTGAGTTACTTTCCCCTCACTGTCAAAACTATAACTTTATCATTTGTTCATGAGCCAAATGCTACCCAGATGTGACAACCCTTCTTTGTTTTAGAGGCCCACATAGCTAACTGGAAACCTTGCATTCCAAAATGCTCCCTCCGTCTAACTTTGAGAACTGAGCAGGCCATTAGTCTTGTTCAATATACTTCTGTACCAGTGCACACAGCAGTATATAAATCATTTTCCCTTAATAGGTCAAAGACAAAGCTGACCTCTTCAGAATGCTAATATCTTGAGTTTGTTTAAAATTATTTAGGAAATGTATTTCTTCAAAGCTGTTGAAAATCTGTACAAATTTGGTTTAAAAAAAGATAAACTCACACACTTTATTTATTTATCTCACACACTTATTTATCTCACACACTTACTGGATTGGAGGAGCCTGATAGCAAGATACAAAAGAGGATCTAAACTTTACATTTCTTTCCATTGAAAAATCACATCCTGTACTCCTATTCCAGCAGAGGTGGACTATACTATCAAGGAGCCAGGATAAGGCAAATGTAGATAGTAGGATGCACTAATTCAGCCCATCCCTTTAGCAGCCTCTGCTGGCAGGATGCTTGTAGAGATCCAGACTTAAAAGCTGCCTATGTATGGCAAAAAGCAGGAGGCAAGGCAAGAGTGGCAACATAATTTTCCAATTTTGGTCTGAATTCCTCTTGGGGTACAAGAAGCTTTGATGGCCTAGGGAGGTATAATTTATTCTCCTCTGGTCCAATACAGTAAGTCTGGTCTTTGACAGTCTCACTTTTTCATTCACCTTTAAAGTGTTACCTATATATAAATTGTTCTAAATAATGAACGCAAGTATCTCATCAATGAATAAACAGAAGGTAATATGTGAGAGTAACAGATTTCTTTCTAATTCAGATGAAACATTTCATTTTTTTCTTCTTACAACTCATATTCAGAATTTAACATCTCTTAAAAAGTAAAACTACAGGTGTATGGTAGAAGTTTATTAGCATTCATGGAGAATTCTGTATAACATTTACTGTAAGTTGTTCAAGCCACTGGGCTGCCCATCAACCTTTCTTGTCGAAGAGCGATCAACCTCTGGAACCACTTTTCCTCTGCTTCCGCTTTCTCAATAAATAGCTGTAAGAGGGGAAAGGGGGAGAGGGGAGAGAGAAAGACACAGCTACTTATAACCTTGTGTTGTTGATTTGGGTTTGCGAATACTGCTCAGTATAGTGATACAGATACTGCATATTTCACTGATGTCAAAAGAAACAACCTGCCCACCTCCAAAAAAGAAAATTAAATGCAAAACTATATTAACATAGCATTAAGATCACAATCAATGAAAAAAAGTCAAGAAATTGAAAGTTAAAGTTTCCACAGCAACACATCTCTGTCATGCCGTATGGGCACTATGTCTATAGTAGGTGTATTTAGTACAGTCAAACAAAACACGACATGTGTGCAATGTGTCTATCTGAATCGTTGCTGTCAAAGTTTTAACTTGGATTTCTTTACTTTTGCATGACAAAAAATTCAAAACCAATATTGCACTATTACAGTTCTTTGGATTAAGTATAATCACGTTGTGCTGTGGATACAACTAGAAAACCACAGCTGCATATTGAAATAACGGCAAAAACTTGGAAGTACCCATTAGCAGACCTAAAGCACACAAGCAAGGGATTCTACTTGACCACGGCGCCTAAAATGCATTAGTCAACTTTCATTCTGATATGGGATGAGGCTTATATGGGATGTGCATTAGTTCAGATGGAATTCCCAGACCCAGAGGTGAGGTCAAGGTAGGCAAGTTGCACCACTATCTAATTCAAGATAAAAAAAACATTCAAAATAATCTTGTGCAAATCTCTGTGTCAACACCTTGACTTCAATTTAAAAGCAATCACAAAATATTTGAATCAATATAAGTACATCTCTTTAAAATTTCAACTTACTTTAAACATGTCACAAAAGTGTAAGTATTTTTTCAGGGACTTCAGCAGGGTGGAACAGGACTAATTTTAGGCTATGATAAGTGAGGTGTTTTGGATTAGACTAGTTGGTCTACTGTCAAACTACACAAACCTGCAGTTATTTCCCCTGAAGGCTTAAAGAGGAACTTTGGTTTCACTGTTTTAGCTTACTTTGGTGTTTCATTGTGCTAATTCTATGCCACTCTGAAAATTTAGGAATTTTGGGACAATTATATTTAAATCTTTCATTAGATGAACAGAAAAAAGTTTATGTATTTTATATATTAACTGGAGATATGATCTACAAGGGAAACCTATTATCCCTAGAAAAGGGGTCAAATAATGGAAGAATCATCAGGACAAAGAAAATATCATACAACGGAGAAAACTTCTCGACTAACTGGGCCATGATTCTCTCTCCAATCTTAACGCTCCCATACAAGTTTTCATTTCTTACCAAGTTTCTTTCTCTTTAAGAATGGCAGAAATCATAGCAAATTTTGAAGCATTTTTTGTTTTACTGTGCAGTATCATTCAGTTCAACCAACAACAGTAACGGCAACAATATTGTACATCTTGGCTAAAAGGTTTTTTAAATGAAAAACTTTAAAAAAATGCAAAATGACAATCACATTCACTTTGAAATTTCTATTTTATTCAGAACTCTAGTAGGCCCATATCTTAGCACTTTTCTTTTGTAGTTTATGGGTTATGTGAGCCTTTCCATAGGAATGGCAAACTTGTTAGTAAATGATCTTTGGTCATGTGACCTTGCCTCCACCCAATTAACTGTTAGTGTTATTTCAAGGGTGCAATAAATATCAACTTTCTTACATTTGGATGTGCTAAAGAGTTGTCATCTTGGTACTTGATGGCAGTAGGAATGCTGCTAGTTGCTATTTCTTTTTCAGTATTAGACGTATCAGCAGTTCCCATTCCTACAGTTGCAGGTTCGTATTTTAATTCAACAGGTTCTGTTGACTAAAAGGAAAAAAAAATCATCAATCTTTTAGAACACTATCCCTGACACTTTGAAGAATTACAATATCATAACTTAGCACTTAGTTCTCTTCACTTGTCCAAAATATATCCATTTAGTAACTGATCCACACAACAATCACGGTCATTACGAGGGATCCTGGCTTTCCATGATAAAAAAAAAAAATCACAAATTCTCTGATAAAAAATTGCAAAATCTGTGGTTAAATTAAATGCCTCCCACAGCCATGCTGGTGTCCCTCACTCCCCACCCCCACAGCCCCACATCCCTGCTTATGCCCCTTGCCCCCTGCCTACAGCTGCTGTCCCCCCAGCCCTGCTGGAGGGGGCCCCCAGCTGCCAGAACTATGGGGTCAGGGACCAGGTCCACAGCCCCCTGCACCCAATGGAAGGCAGCAGCTGCTCGAGCAGGAACACGAGCTGGCTCCCCCCCTGCTGCAGGCTCAGGCAGGGCCAACTCCCAGTGGCAGCATGCACTCCTGGGGATCAGGGGGGACTCATGCCCCCTCCCCCTGCAATCTGTGTGTGGGGGGGCAGGGCAGATGTGCTCTGCCCCCGTGCATGCAGAGGTAGTCTGGCCAGGGCAGCATGGAGCTTGCAGTGGCAGGCAGCTTTCGTGTGTGGCCTCGCTGTGCCCTGTCGCAGCAGTCACACACGCTACACTCTGGAGAGCCTGGGAGAGGGCAGTAGGGCGGGGAGCACAGTGTTTGTGACCCAGGGTTTGCAGCCTGCCTGCTCCTGACCAGAGTGCTCGGCTGCCTGCAAACCCCCGCCACTCCTGGCCAGCTGCAAACCCCCACTCCTGGCCAGAATGCCTGGCCGTGTAGGCCCCAAGCGGGCTGGGGGCTGAGGGAGCAGGGAGGTTTGCAGCCGGCCAGGAGTGGCAGGGGTTTCCACTCCAGCCGGAAGTGGGGAGGCTGCAAACCCCCTTCCGGCCGGAGTGCCTGGCTGGCTGTAAACCTCTCTGCTCCCTCAGGCCCTAGCCAGCTTCCCCCACCAGCCCTGCCCCGCAGCCCCCAAGCCCTGCTTACCTCCAGCAAGAAGAGTGAGCCTGAATCAGGCTCTGGTAAGTGAGTGTGTTGGGCCCTGCCCTTTCCCCCTGCCTTCCCCTCCTGGCAGGGTTGAGGGTTCCCCCTCCACTTTTGCAAACAGCTCTTGTAGGCTAGAACTCTGCCAGCCTGCAGAGCTCTTTGCAAAAGGGGGAAATCCATGGGTTTCTCTTCTAAAAGGAAAAATCCGTGTTTTCTCTGATAAAAATGGGAAATCTGTGGTTTTCTGTTTTCCGTGGGAAACAGAAAACCAGGATCCCTGGTCATTACCTATATATTTTTGAGAACAGTTAATGGGAATTGCCTGGGCGAGTAATACAGAACAGGCTAGGAGACACTCGCAAATATGCAGGTGAAAGAGTAAAGCTGCAGTTTTGTATTAGATCACATTTGTTCAAAAGCTGTGCAATTTTTTAAAGTAAAGAAATACACAATAAAATAATTGCAGAACAGTGAGGATTATAAACATTTCATTGTCACAATCAAACCATCATTTGCTTATGACCTTTGCTGACAAAGGCAAGAGAGTCTGGCTTCTGAAGAAAGACTCAACGGCAAGGAGCAAGGCCACAACTTTCAGAACTGGATGTATTCAGTTAAGCTCCTAAAGTCACTTTCAGGCCCTGGCTCCCAGGCGCGTGGAGTCTTCTGACATCAGGACACTTATTTCAGTGAATAGATATGGTTCTAATATTTAGTTGTTGCCACTCAAGATTAACATTACTGGCTCTTGAAGAACTCGCTACCTTTGCCTGAAGATTTCTCTGACCCATGCTTCTCCTTTGACTTTTAAATCTTTGGGTTTTGAAATAATGACTTTAAAAAAGGTTCTAAAAACCCCAGCTACAAAACCTGGTTTTGACTTTGCTGTCCTTTTGACAATATATTCTACCTAACTCCAAACACTCAACTCCTGGCAGTGATGTTGATTTTGACATTGCATCAACTAGGTAGGTTCATTTTTGTCTCAACTTCAATAGTGGGAATTAAGATTGTTAATATGAAGTGTGAATCGAAGCTGTTAATGCAGCAGCTTCTATTAGGCACCCATGGGGTTATACACAATGATGGGATACTGCAAACTTACCTTTTTGACTTCTTTACTTGATCTAAATGTCTGTGGAACAAAGGAGTCGCTTTCAATAGCTTCAATTTCTTTTACTCGTTTTACTTGTTCTACTAGGGTGGCTTGGTCTACAAAAGAGGGTATAATGTCAGTATATGTTAGTGTAAGCTTATGATCAATGCTGTGCCTATGCAATACTCACTGAATATATTTTACTACTTATGAAATATACACCAGAAAAGCCTTCTGATGCATGCTAAAATATTCTGTTATACAGAAACATCCATGCTTTATTACGAACAACAGGAGTAATTAGGCTATTATTGCTTAATGTGTGATGTCATTCATGATGTCGCCATAAAAATGTCTTATAGAAGCCCGTACAGGATAACTGCAGATCTGCAGCATGTAGATTTACTGGAAAAAAACAAGGGATCTTGAATCGTCAGGGTGAATACCTCTGAAGTGTTAAAATACTAATATTAATTCTAGCTTAAATTTGACTTTGATGTTAGTAGTCTTCTGGCTGTCAACCATCTCCTCTACCTCCTGTGGAATTATTTAAAGTCATGTATCACCAACATTAATGACTATGATCGATAGAGCCAAAATATTGAAAGCAGATTAATTATATAACTCCCCTCTATATAAAACTCTCAAATGTTCTGTGTGCTATTATGATAATCAGATGTTTATATCGTGTGGCTGTGTTGACAAATAATTTCAGCTGCTTGTTTAATTGTGAAAGTAAAATTTCCCTGCAATATTGGAAGACTTCAATTCATTCTGAGGCTCTCAAATGATTGCACTTTGTACAAAAATGTTACAAAATCGTATGTTCTGTTAGGCACCTGCGAAAAGCATAGCCTCAAATTTTATTTTGAAGAGAATACACTTTATTGTGATGCATCAGGTACTACTGGAGCCCTATAACAAGAAATACACAAAACCTATATGCTCAGCTATCATCAGGCGAATATTTTTTCTATTGACCTTTAGACACAATGACATTAAGATGTAACTGGTAAGAAACAGAAGGGAAATACTAATGCAGGGTTTTACATATTCTAGGTCAAATTCATGCTCTACTTTACTAAAACGGAGATGTCTTAAAACTTCTCATTAAAAAGGGGATTGGAAATTAAAACTGAGCAACAGTCCAATATTATCTTCTTTATGTTATATTTAAGACTTTTAATACTTTGTTTGAACAAAGTAAAAAAAAAAATAATTTACATATATGGACATACCAGAAAAAGTCTAATACAAGCCATGACCCAAGTTAGATATGCTTGACTGGATACCAGCTATTAAAAATAGATAAGAATATAGCCTCCCTCCTCAAGATACACACTGGAAAACATTTATACTATTTTGAAAGTTTTTGTATTGTTCAGTTATTTGCTGAAAGTTTCTCAAAATGCATGCAGTATTTCATTCATACATTTAATTCACTTCATGATAGACACGCAACAACATTCACCAGTCTTTAGCTGTAAGGATAGGTCTATGTTGCTACCTGCACCTAGGTCCATTCTTTAGCCCAAACCTGCCCTCTGTTTATACTCAAAACCCCTCAGCTCATCCCTACACAGCAGTCCAGCCCATCCCTACCAGTTTCAGGGCCAGAGCTCCAGCTTCAATATAACTCAGCCTTCCTGCACAGTACAGGCAACCCTTGCCATTTGCGGGGGACACGTTTTCATATCCCCCGCAAATGGCGAAATCCATGAATAAGGCACTGTGCTCATGAACACAGTGCCCCTGGCAGCTGGGGGGGACGGGACAGGGCTCCGGCAGTGACGGCCGGAGCACGGCAGCAGTGGTGGTGGCGGGAGCCTGGCAACAGCAAGCACAGAACTCCCGAGGAGCTCCTGTAAGTGCATAAAGTGCATTTAAAATGTGGGTTCAGCATTCACAAGTATTTGAAACCACAAATGCCGAACCTGCAGATAGCAAGGGTTTCCTGTACTGTTCCACAGATATAACAGGGAATCTGCCACCAGTCCTTTCGTATCCCGTTCTTGTCTCTACTGCCTGTAATGACAGCCAGGCACAGAAGAAAATACAATTAATGGGGCCGATTCCTAGAAAGGTCCATTTGAGTTTCCTATTCCTATTCTTTTGGGAATCCATTTGTTGAATATTTGTCTGTCCTGTGCTTCTTACATGCTGCCACTGCAAAGTAATACAGACAGGGAAAACAGCTTTGGTGGCTGGGGGCAGTTTAGGACAAGTTATTTCACCCCAAAATAGAGTAGTAGTCAGATCCTAGGACAGAGTCTTCTCTTACTCCAGAAGAATCTGCAGTGATCTGAGTGTGCCTTAAAAGCAGGATTATGACACAATTCCTTTGTTACAAGGAAAATTCAAAAGTGGAACGAGAGGTTTGATGCTCTCCACTACTAGTTCAGAACACACTGACCTGCCAAGTTATGGACAGAGATGGCCAGGTATAGTGTGCAGGACAAGAGATAACCAAGGTGGCTCTGCTTGATGCAGTCAGATAAAGACCAGATATATGCTTGAGAAACAGTGACCCTGAGACTGAAAGGATAATTTTTGATGCTTGGAAGAAGGCGTTGTCATAAAGGTCCTGCTTCTGTGCTAGTTCTTCCAACAGCCTGCATGTGAACTGAAATGTTTTGATTATGATCTTTGACTCTGATATAGATAAGTTTTGTACTCAATGAACTCCTCCAAATAATATTCCTGAGGTGATGTGTACACTACAAATTCCCTTTGATCCTTTTCATGGCCAGTGAAGATATACATTTTGCTCTACATACAAAATTCTAAATCCAGATATATACAGCAAATGTATTCTTGCCTTTTATTTGCTTCAGGGGAAAAATACCCCCCCCCCAAATTCTCTTATGCAATTCAATGGAAACTAGCCTCAGACAATATTCAAATGATGACTGAATGAAAGTTAAGATGAACAAAAAAAATACAGAGTAGCTGTCCAATACCCAGGTATATTTTTTTGCAAGGACAAGAAGTATTAATTGCATAACTTCATTTTCATCAGCCAAGCATTACAAAAACATTTTTCTAAATAATGACTAGTTTGTTTCTTTCCTCACATTAACATCTAAAGGAAGTGTTTGTGCTGGTGCCGCTCTCATTTCTGCTTCTACCTCACACTCAGTTTACAGCGCTCCTGATCTTCCCTAGCTGGTCCCAGGTACAGCTGCAGTGGCAGTAAAATCTGGGCCCTACCCATGTGGCTAAGGTTATATACTAGTTATATGTTAACTGACTTTTTCTCTCCATCACATTTGTTTCTGAATATTATCTATTATGTTTATTATGGTAATATCCTGTGACCAGTCAAGAAGGGGACTCCAGTGTGCTAGCACTGTACGTACACAGAGAAGTCGACAGCCCTTGCAGTGAAGACCTTTCTATAATACACAAGACAGAAGGTAGTGAAAGATGGATCATTAGTGCCTGCAAGTGTCATACTAGTTCTACAATTTTCTTGTTATGAAATTATTTTTGCTCACAGTTCCATTTGAACAGATAAGGTAAATGGCAAGAGAAGGGAAGGGAGAGGGGCCAATACACCTGGACATGCCAGATATGCATAAAAGCTATATATTGATCATTTTACTCAGATAAGTGCAGGAAACATTGCATCTGAAAAGCAATTCTGTAACAGCCTCAAGTAATGTAGTCATATCTGCCATCCTAATAATCTAAATCTAATTCAAGCCGAGAATGAGATTTTCACTGTTTCTTTTAATAACTGAAAAATATTGTATAGGCACTAACATCTTAGAAAAAATAAACTATGCCCATTCTCTTAGTTCATAATTTTAATAAATGTGATGATTGGAAACCAAATGAAATAAACATTTGCCTTGCTAAACAAACACTATATAAACCCATAAAACACTCATGTCCCAGAAAGTCTATAGGGCTTATTTTACTACGCTCAGAATGGGGATTAAAGTTTTTAGAAGATGCTAATCTGCTCAAAGTAGAATGCAGAGGCGCATGGTGCCTACAACTCCTATCTTTTTACAGGAGCCTTGAGTTCTTCAGCATTAGTCCAAAAGTGGATACTGATAGTTGGGAAGGGCCCTGAACAAAGATGCACTTGTACAGAAGGAAGGCACAATATACTCGGGTACCACTGTGGCAGTGCAGTAGAAAAATCAAGAAAAAAAGATTGATTCAATAGATTTCAGAGAGAATGGAGATGAATGCAGATTTAAAAGTTCAGTTGCTCAATTCTTGTATGACGCATCTACCACAGTATTTAGCCTTTTATGGTATATTACATGAATTAGATACAAACCCATAGTAATGACAAGTTACTAAGAGAAACAAAAGCACTGAATGTTTTTAGAATTACATTAGTGACATTAACTTGGTGAAAATGGACGGGAAGGAAGCATAATCCATTACTGTATGATATTTTTGACAAACACATTATTGGTAGATAAAATGACTTCCATATGTTGTTTGTCAGATGTCAGTAGAAAGGATATGCATTTCATAGTAAAATCAAAAATAATGGAGTCAGAAAGCTAAGAGGCTACAGACAAAAAAAAAAAAAAAAAAAAAAAAATCAATACTAACTCATTGCACAGCAAGTCCTTTTACTGTGGACCTACTGAAAAATACAAAACTAAATATTGTATTGGTGATTGTTGATGGCATTTTTTATAAATAGGCTAGCTTTTACTTCTATGATAAGAATTGCAATTAAACTCATTTTACAAACAATTATCCTTTTAGTTTATTATCAAAGGAGAGAAAAAGACAAATACACAGAATAATACTTAATAAAACTGTATGATACAATTGGGAAGTCTTTCATGTGATGAGCTTGTTTTAGTCCATCTGCTCAAATCATCTGAGTATCAACACAATTATTGTAGCAATGCTGCACTAAAAACAGCAGGTGGCATTATCCTACAAGTTAAGTGTATTCAAACCCCAAGCTTTCACACCACCTAAAGCAAGACAACAGAAGAAACAATTATCCTCATCTGTCCCCCACCCCTGAAATCCCAACAATCCCAACACCTGATTATTCCTATTTGTTTCACATTTTCTTCCTCCTGAATTCTGCCTGGAATTTTAAAAGCCGTAAAACCTACTTCTTCAAAATTAT